AATGTTAAGAGAAAATTCTCTCCGTGTAGCGAAGATACGTTCCGTGACTGCTGGTCAAGGTTTACAGCTAATCCGATTCATGAATATAAAAAGTCTCCCGTGGCTCATAAATCTATCCTATCGAACTGTGACATGTAGAAATTAATGTCTGCGAATAAAGCAAGATATTCGTGTAATTTTTTTGTTTCGCGACGTTATAATTCAATGCGATCGCAGAGATTTGGGGACACGAGAAGCGGACATCATAATGTTCGTCTATCTCAGCTTTCGTACGGGCGGCGGAGAATTCTATTCCTCGCGCGGAATTTCGCGCGTAATTCGGATTCCTTCGCTGAAAGGTCGACAAGGGGCGAAGACGGCTGGCGAAATAAAAATTCGCAACGTTGTAACGGCACGACGGACATCGGCGGCAAACAAAGGGATGGGGTTCCAGCCGCGAGGGAGAACGGTCCCACCTCGTACGGTCTTGATCCGAAGTTATCTGAGCGGCGCGCGCGAGAGAGAGCGAACGCGAGAGCCGATTATATTAAATGGCTGGTAAAACGGTCTGCTTAACATAGCGTTTATCTGCTCCTCTTGCTTTAGTACTTTTTCACTGCCTCGTCAGCCATCGCCCATAAACTTGACTACGACTATCCCGTGTCTCTTTTTCCCCACCCATAATGCGAGAAGGAGAGAGCCCTCGGTGCATTTTTCCGCGCGCCCGCGCGTGTGGCACTGCACGCAGCCGGGCCGAACTCATAAAAGATACAGGACCGTTAAAACAGTTCATCGCCTCGAGTGCTCATCATACCCTGACGCCCTTTTTGTTTATGATAAAGCTCTGAAACTTTCTCTGTTCCTCACTCTCCTTTTTCCGCGTCGAAAGATCAAGTACTCTTCGATGCAATCGTCACCGACGCTTTTGCTAATTTTCAACGCGAATCACATCTAGGATCAAACTCTTCTACGCGGAAAGGTGGAACAGTTGCGGAATATGACAAAATCTCATTCTAGATGTCCCAGATACATTTTAACTTCCATAAAATATTGCTAGACATATTATTATTGTAAAAATGTTACTAACATATCTGCGTGTATAAAATATTCAAGGAACGTCTTGATAAGAAAATCACGTTGAGATCATAAAGAAGGTTCAGAGGACATTTTCGCAAGAAAAATACGTGCAATAGGAATCACTGATGCCTTCCCACATGAATTTCGGCACAGGTAGAACACATATACATTTTCCATGTGTGTATACGCAAACTGTATAAACGTGTGACATGTGCACATGTATCTCGTCTATTTAAATGATGTATATCGGTAAAGTAGAAGCAATTTTCTGTGTAGGATATATTAAAGATATGATTTCTTAACAAAAATCAGGAATTAGCCTACACGTTCATACAAAACTGATGCGGAACAGTTAATATTTTGGCGAGTTCGAGGTAAAGCACAATTAAAAATGCCGATATAACGAAGCGACGACGAACGATGCAACGACAGCGAGAGGCGACAAAGGCAATGAAGAAGCGCAGAGTCCTAAAACCCCACGGGGTTTCCGAGACGCGTGGGCGAAATGCACGTTCGCGCGCGCATGCAAATTTTTCCTCGAGAGGAAAAACAATAATCTACGGCGTTTGCCTTCGATCGCGAGAGAGGGACGACTTCTCTCGCCCATTTGGAGATATCATAACGTTACGGAAACGTGGGACGTCGTTGCTGACGTCACAGCCCGCGCTGCGCCAACGACACCCTCATGCCTCCTATTTGTGCGCGCTCGTGTACCTGTGTCTGTACGAATGCGTGTACGCAAGTACACGCGCGCAGACACACACATACATCGTCGGAAAAGCAATGCGAAAGAGGGTAGCTTGAGGGGCGTGGTGTGGACCTTCCACCCCCGAACGGGCAGCGAATACTTTTGATGTAGCCGCCAGCCCCCCACCGATCTTTCCCGCTCACCCCCGCGATCTCTCTCGCCCCCTCTTCTCCCACGATCGCGTCGCCCCCCAGAAATAATTGCGCGTTTCGCGGTCTCTTGATCCGCGCGTAAAAGTAATCCAAACATCGCATAAAAATTATGTTTACGAGTTTCGAATGGGGGGAGGGGTCTCGCAAGGGGTCCACGCGACCGAAGGGTGGCCGAAGGGTCGCAGACGGAGATCTCTCTCCCATGATCTCTCGATCTCGGCCCGCCGCGACACGACCAGCTCGAACGTCGACGTTTATTCGCGGAGAGATCGCGGCTCGATCTCGTTTCCACGCGATCGGAGATTAAATACAGGCCTTATCGCTCATTATCGCGTTTCTCTCGCGACGATTCGAAGGTCGTAGGAATCCCTCCTCCGCGCGCATCGCGTAGAACACCGAGGGCCGCCGGGTGCCCGCGCTCCGGGACCGCGACCGGCGCCAATCGATTCCGAGTTAAAAACGCGATTTAAAAATCAATCCGCGCGCGCCGAAAGTCAGGCGCTTTAAATAAGACCTGTGATTTATGACGCACAATAACTCGCGCAGCGCAGAAATGGAACGAGACTTCGCTCGCGCGCAGATACAATCGGTGACGCTGCAAAAAGAGTATGCATCCTCGTCAGAGGCGGACCCAGGGAAGAGAACATCCCTCCCTCCCTCCCCCTTTCAGAAGATCAGGCGCCCCAAAAATGTTTTATGTATTCACACTGATAGGAAAATATGTAGTATTTGAAACTATACTGCTTACACTTCTTCGTGTAAGCTTTAAGGCCCGAACACACGAAGAAACTTAAACAGGAAAACTTAAGACTTAAAGCAAATGACCAGTGACTGTCGAGAACGTAAGCAGCCATTTTGAAACTTCAGCAATGCTGAAAAATCCGATTGGTGGATTTTTCGTGTGTTCGGGCCCACACACTTCTCTGACCGCGTGCGAACCGAGCGCGCCTACGTTCTTAAGCGACAGAGTGCCGGGTAGCATTTTGTACACTGAGAAAAAAAAGTGTTGAATCAAGAAATATTTCTTCATATATTATAATATATGCGGCGATCACGGGCTGCCAAGCAAAGATTTATCAATTCGTAAAAATATTCGTCGATTCATAAAAATATATGTTTCAATATGAATCACTGTCTGTTTAACAAACTTATACATTTGAACTGAAGAAATATTGCCGACTAAACGTATTTAGTCATTTCAATAATCTTTTTTCTCAGTTTATCTTGTACCTATATTTTCTCTCTAGGTATTTGCGCTATTAATGATTAAATCACCGACATGTTTGATTCAATTTTCTCGTTGGTTCTCTCGTTTCTTTAACAGCCACTCCATATTTCTCTTTCTTGCCAACCCATACGAGAACGTGAAGAAACATTCCCACACTAAAAAAACCCTAACGCAGGTAGATTTCCAGGCGTCGTAAAAATTTATCACTATTTCGTGTATCTGTTAGAAAATTGTTTGTAGTCTGAAAAATTTATAGCAGCAACATCCTAGTAATACCTTCTGGAAAGTTTAGGTTTCGTGACTAAATATTAATCATTCATGCCTCAGTGATCGAATTGGTGAAACGCCCGCCAGTGTACACTCAGAGAAAAAAATAATTGCTACAACTATAAAAATGTGATCAAATAGCACCTCAACTTTTTGTCATTGGTTATAGAAATTAAAAAACTATAGTGAATTGAAATACAGAAATATTGTCAGATTTGTCAAATGATATGATTAATACAACTATATAAATAACGTTGTTGTTGTTGTTCTAACATGATTACCTAAACTATATTTTTATGGTCATTATTATCAAAACATTTAGTTGCTTGAAACATAATGTAACGATAATACGGATAATCAAAATTTATCTCTCAAAACTATAATGACTTGTCCTTTGTTGCGCCTTACAGTTTTTAATATGGGGTGGGGTATCAATAGGCTTCCTATTAAAAAATTCAATTAGTTTGTGCAACTATAATTCATTAGTTCTTGTAATAACTCAGTCTAGTTGTAATAATTATAAAACACTTCATAGAATTAAAGTAATATAGTTAATGTTATTTTTCCGATTAAGTTTGTGCAACTATTATTTATTAATTCTCTTAACCATTAATTTAGTGACGACAATTATGAAATAGGTAATTAAACTATGTACAATAATTCTATGACTAAAATTTGTATAGTTCTCACCTATATAGTTGCCATTACTATAATTTTTTCTCTGAGTGTAGGAAAGTCTAGGTTCAAATCCCCCAAAATAAATTTTTTTAATTAGAATCTGCCCGTTACAACAATTTTCTACATTGATTAATCATTCACATTGGATAGCTAGAACAATCTTTGTAAGAAATATAACAGTTTATGTACCACAATCAAAAGTTATTTAATGGATGAGCGTAACAGAAAGACTTGCTTTCCAACATTCGCTAACAGTTGAAATAAGAATTCTGTTTCTGTTATTTAAATTGATTAAATACAACACATATGCGATTTCGCAGTATTGACTATTGGTTCATATATCTCATTGTTATTTTTCGTACCTAGAAAATTGTTGCTGCAGTTGCAAGATTACTTTTTTGAGTGCATGAATTTTAAACTACACGCGAGTTTTATGATTTTATTAAGTCGCAAACGAGATTACAGAACACTGTATGCGCACGATTATTTCTTAGCCAATTATAAAAGAAACAATCTGAAGGCTTGGGAAATAGGCAAATCGCAAGTCGATCTGCTCTGTTCTCTCTCCTCTCCCTCCAAGAGCGCCTGTGATCCTCGCCGACGTTTGATTCCCGCGTTACATAAAACACACACGTGTACAAGTACACGGCGTCGGGAGGAGGCAGAAGGCAGAAGAGTGGACTGAAGCGGCGGTCTCTCCGCGGGGAAAGGCGCGAGAGTCACGAGCGGGAGTTTGTCGCGTTCGAAATTGACTCATTTAAAAATTCCATTCATCTGTTAGCGCGGCAGGCGAGTCGTCCGTACGTAAAGTTTAATGATCCGTGCGCGGCAAAAAGGGCAAACGCCTACGAAAGAGAGAGAAATCACTCACCTGTCTTCTCCTTGATCTCGCAAAGCACCGAAAACAGGGCGGGCTTCATCCTGTGGCAGTTGAGGGTGTGTTTCCTGCAAGGCAGACCGAACGTCGGATTAGCTCTCGAAATCGCCACCCAAAATCGCGGGAAAGGCGAGAAGGTCGACGCGGGAGCCCTCGGCCGACTCGAGATCGACTCCTCTGGCGAGGGGGAAAAAAAAGGAGCGTGGTCGGTCCCGAATCCGCCGAGAGGGAAAAACCGACGTGAGGGAAGGAAGGCGAGTCTAGGCGCCACTTGGCGTGCAAATTACACGCGAAATTACAACTACCGCCATCGAGATTAGCGGCTCGGCGTGTTAATAAAGGCAATTAACTTAATTCAAGGCCGCGCGCTTAATTGAGGGCCGCGATATTTAAATGGCCGGGCGTTTAAATCGCACGTCGCGAAAATTACCGAGCGCCTCGCCCCGTGAAACGCACGCGTGTTCGCGGGAGGCGCATCTGGCACTCTTTGTGGCGGCGTCAAACACGCGGACAGGTACTTAATATACCTTGACACACACACAAGCGCGAGGCCGACCTCATGAATGCGGGCAGGCACATGATTAGTCGTGTGTGTGTGTGCGCGCGGACGATCGGTCGAACACGAGGAGCCGGTTAAGGCCTGAGCATACGAAAAAACCCACTGGTAAAAGACTTAGGGCCCGAGCAGAATGGCTGTCTTGTATTCTTAAGTCACAGGACAGTCATTGTGCGTTACTCTAAGGCAAAGATTTAGAACATAAAACATTGTCTTAAGAATACAAGATAGCCATTCTGCTCAGGCCCTTAAAGCCCGAACCATGAAGGAACTGAAGCGAGAAAACTTAAGACTTAAGAAAAATTATCAATAACTGTCGAGAACGTAAGCAGCTATTTTGAAACTTAAGCAATGCTAAAAATTCTGATCGGTCGAAATTCTTAAGTCTTGAGTTTTACTGCTTAAGGACCGCCGCACACAAATTTCCGTAGAAATAACCGTAAGACTTTGACCAATTGCATTGCTTCATGTGATTACGGACTACCGAATCGAGCAATGTAATTGGTCGAAACCTAAAGCCCGGTCTACAATGAGACAGAAGTCAGTAGTCAGAAATCATGAACCGTAAGTTGAAAACCATGAAGAAAAATGCTGATCCACAATGAATCATAAGTCACTATAATCGAGCAAATCAGAGACGTGGAAATTTATAGGCAATTATGTGCCTCAACCAGCTCGATGAGTTTTAAATCATCAATATTCTCGTTGTATGCAGCGATTTCCATCGTTAAACAAGTTTGATTAAACTCAGTTTTGTGGAACAACACTTAAAAAATACCTAAGAAGGTTATGTTCTGAAATGTTTCTTTGTAGGAAAATTATAATATACCTACACGCATATACTATAAACTGTCAGCAAGTACAAATTTTTCTCACGTAAATATTTCGGAATATAACCATAACCCCAAAGCCAGATGTGGCTTGGCGCTCTCGATAAAAATGGTGGGCATATGATTGGCTGTGAGTGGTCAATCATAAATTACGTATTAACTATAAGTCAGAAGGATTGGATTTTTACAATCTTCTTACGACTGCCGCGTTCCAACTTGTGAGTGTCTTATAATAGGCTTATAACTCGCTTATGTCTTCTAACTACTGACTTCTGTCTCATTGTAAACCGGGCTTAAGACTTAAGGGAAATGACCAATGACTGTCGAGTACGTAAGCAGTCATTTTGAAACTCAAGCAATGCTGAAAACTCCGATCGGTCGAGATTCTCAAGTCTCAGTCTGCAATAGATTTAAACCCTAAGCATTAAAAAATTGACTAATCACAGTCGCGTATTCTACTCATACTTGACCGTGATTGGTCAATTTCTTAAGGCTTAAATCATCTATTGTAAACTGGGACTAAAGTCAACGGCACACGGTACTATTTTTCCTACTGGATTGCTTACGAGAGCCAATCAGGATTCAGCCTTAAGTCATCTGATCTAAAACTCTGCATCCTTAACTCTCGTAAACAATTCAACAGGAAAAATAGTATCGTATGCCGTGTTGGCTTTAGTCTTGAGTTTCACTGTTTAAGAGCCGCCGCACACAAATTTCCGTAAAAGTAACCCTAAGGCCCGGTCTACAATGAGTTGTTATTCGTTAATCATAAGTCGGAATATGTTGATCATTTTCCTTTCTAGACGGCAGAAAAAAGATCCGTCAGATTGTTCTGACTTCAGACCAACGACTCATTGTAAACCGGACTTTAAGACGTTGACCAATCGCATTGGTTCATGCGATTACGGACTACCGAATCGAGCAACGCAATTGGTCAAAACTGTTACGGGGATGTGTGTGCGGCGGTCATAGTCTTTTCGTGTGTTTGGGCCTTCAAGACCGCAAGCAGCCATTATAAAACTCGAGCAACGTTGAAAAATTCAATTGGTTGAAACTCTTAAGTCTCAAGCTTTACCGCTACAGTTTTTTTTCGCGTGTCCAGGCGCCGCCGTTCCCATTCTGTCCGCGTGGAGCGGATTTATTCCTCGTCATTTTGTTTACTCGCGAAATCGTTAAAAAAAAACTATAGAATCGCAGCATCGATCTCCTCGCGGGTCGATAGATCTTATCTCGCGGACGAGCGCCCCGCGGGGTCCGTCGAATTATCATTAAAAAAGGCAGAGAGGATGTTTACTCGGGACTATGTGTATTCCGCGTGATAAATCAGGCTGATTAACGCGCCAATGAATAACGCGCGCGCGTAATTAGCTGAGCGTGTACGCGCGAGCGAGAAGTCGCGCGGTCGCACAGTAGGAGCGTATTATCACTCGTCGTCATTAATAAGCGCGTCGCGCGTTTTATAATGCCGTATAATTAACTGCAAAGATTGCGCCAAGCGCTCCGCGCGTGTTCCTTTTAATTTGATACGCGAGATACGCGGGGAGGAACGAAGACGCGCGCCTCCCGCGTCACGTCGCCGGGAATCGACGGGGAGCGTAAACGCCGGGGTGTACACTTCGTAATCCGCGCGATTTAACGCGTTTCCATGAACTCGAAATAAAACCGCGCGCGCGCGCGTCGTGTTTTATACGCGGGCATCGTCTTTTACGAGAATTTCGTTTACACGGCGCCGCTCTCCCGCCGGCTAACGAATCGGCCTCGTAAATCGGAAGTGCCATTAAGCCTTTAATTCCGCTATTAACGAGCCGTAAACGTAATTTTCAGCCCCGACGTAACGCTGATAGGCCCCGAGGACGCTTCAGCGCGAGTGGTCGTGGCAATTACGAATACGACGCTCCCGATGCAACTATAAAGCGCGTATACACGTTTAACGTTCGACGGGGAGCGAAGAGGGGCAGGGGCGGGTGCGGGACGAGGAGACGTTCGGAGAGACGAGACGGAGAGGAGAGGAGAGGAAAAAAAAAAGGTAACGGTACTCGACCAGGGGCAAGATCGAAAAGAGACGCGTCCCGCGCGTAAAAAAATGGCGGAGCTCGGGGGAGAGGGAGAAAGGATGAACCTCGGGCACGTACCTCGCTTGCGCCTCGTCCAGGCTCTGGTCCGTGATGTTCATGATCTGCTGCAGGATGTCGCCGATGTCCTGCTTCCGCGCCTCGACCGCCTGGTCGGGGCCCTGGGCCGCGGTGCCGTCGACCGGGCCCATGCTGCCGTAGCCGGCGGTGTTCTGGGCCGCCTGGCCCTGGTTGCCACCCATCAGACCCACACCTGATCCACCGTGTTGCAGCATCCTGCCAGTCTCATCCATCAACCGGATGCTCGGCTTAGCTCCAGTCCCGGCGCTGGCGCGAGTCTAGTCGCGGCCCACCGTGCTCGCGCACGGACGACGTTACGCGTGGCGGCGCGTTTCTACGCAAAACGGAACGATCGACGGAACGCTAACTCCGGTGCGTGTACACGCACCGGCGGCACGCGCGCGTTACGCGTTTAACTCGTATACCAGGTGTCGCGGAAGAACGCGCGACAAACTTTGAACGGATCCGGCCACCTTCTGCCTCTCGTCGGACGATGCCGCTGGCCGGAAGTAATGATACACGTGCTTCCTCTCTCCTCTCCCCCTCTCTTTCTCTCTTCGCCTTCTTCCGGATCCTTCGATCTCGTGGAAGGCGCGCGTTGCACACTTGCAAAAATATATTCTCTCTCACTTTATCTCCGTCGTCACAAACACCTCGTGACTCTTGACGCACCGTTGCCTCGCGCAGAAACGCGCGGCGCGAGCGACTTGGAGGTTATGCCAACGCCGCGGTGCCTTTGTCCTTCTGCGTGTCGCGCGGCGGCTCCAACTCCGCTCCGCTCCGTTTCGTCCCGTCGCCGTCTCCCTTCCCGTCGCTCTCGCGCGCGTCCCGCTCGCTCGCTCGCTCGCTCTCTGCCTCCTTCCCGCGATGCGCTTCTTCTTCTCTTATCCCGCCTCTCTCTCTCTCTCCCCCCCGCACCGCTGCGCTCGGTGATGCACTCGCGGCTTCTAATTATCGACTTCTAAAATCTGGTATACACAATATAGGGCAAGTTGAGATTAGCGGCTCTAACATTGACGGATTGTCGGGTTTTACGTATACGCGGTTGTGTCGAGACGGTCGGCGTCGCGCCCGGACCGCACTCCTCCCTCGTCGAGACTCCACACTATGTATATATCTATATATATAATATATCTCTCTTCTCCCCTCTCTCTCTCTCTCTCCCTCTTACTCGCTATGGCTGAAGATCGGCGTCGTTCTCCGAGCCATCCGCGCCACGGACGTCGCACACCGAGCTCTCCGCCTTTCAAGGAAACTACTGCGACGACGGCGGCGGCGGCGACGACGACGACGACGACGACGGCGACGATGACGCGCGCGCGGACCGACCGTTTCCGTCGCTCTTCTCACTGTCCTCGGTCGCTCGAGCGACTGCTACGCGGCTCGCGGGTGTACGTGCGCGTCCGTGCTGTGCCCTCGGGTATATGCGTGCGGTACGCCAATCGGCGGCCATAGCAGCCGCCGCGGCCAATCAGAGCGTTCCATGCATCCGCCGCCGCGCCGCGTCACCCGCTCCCCCCTCTCGTCCCGCGCTCACGACGCACCGTCGTCCGCCGCGTGCGCGCATCCACCTTCCCGTGCTTTGTGCCTTGTGGCCGCCCGACTCTCACGGCGCTCGTGGCCGCGGGCTCATAACCTCCTCGACGCTCTGCCGTGCCACTAGGCGATCCCCGTGGTCGCTCCAGGAACGCGTCGCTCGCGCGCGTCTCCGTCGCCGGCTTCGCACACGGGCGCAAACTCCGCCCACCTATCTCCTTCTCTCTCTCTCTCTTTCTCTTGCTCGCGTCCCCACCGCGACGGTCGTCCTGCTCCTTTTTCGCGCGCACGCCGGCGCTTCCTGGTGTTTGTCGCGCGTTCGTCGACGCGTAGACCGTCGAGAGAGAACTCGCGCCGACGGCCGCGAATCGCGATGAAAATCTGTCCGCGGATTCTCTCGCGAACGGGAGAGGCTCGCTCGCGCGCGAGAGGGAGTCGTAAATTACACGGGCGCACGCTGCTGCGCAGTCGCCGCGCGCGCGCAAGATGGCCGCCGCCGAGGCGACCATGACTGCGAAGCGGGAAACGTAAATCAAGTGCGCGGCATGGCGCGGCAGTGGCGTGGCGCGGCGCATACCAGCGAGGCCGGTTTTTGAACCCGCGATTGCCGAGTGTAACAACCGCGCGGATTTGCCGTAACGGAATCTTTCGGGATTCGAAGATCGGGTTAAATTGACGAAAATATCGACGCGTCCTTTCGCGTTATTCGAGTCGCCCGACGTTTGCTAGTAATTTTTTAATCGAAAATCGAATATTTCACATTTGTCGAACTTGAATCATATGTCCGTGAAATAATTATAATAATTATATTTATAAATTGAAACTGCTAAGGTTAAATTATAAGTAAATATAGAAGTTTGAAATCTCTTTGGTTATTCTTAATTTTTTAAGCGACTGGTGTACTTTTATTTTAGTCAAATGGGATTTTAGGGTCCCGCTAGACATTATTGTCATATTCAATTTAAAAGCAGCAGTGTCTAGACATTGAAATGCCGCTTTTGCTTAAAGAACACAAAAACGAACTCTATCTTCGCTAGCCGGTTCTATCGTCAAATGTATGCAGAGATCTGTTCTTTATTATTTATATCAAATGGCAGTTTTTGTTTTGCCTCAAATATTTATCGTGCCTGTCGCTCGCGAAACCTGCGTATGGGGATGTAAATGAATATGAGCACTTAGG